TATGATTTAATAATTAGATACATGACATCACTAATAAGCTATGTAATTCTAATAGTGAAACAGATTGACTTATATTGCTTGCTTTTGTTGATGTAGTTTTTAAATGTCTAAAAAATATTAGAAGATACATAATTTTAGTCAGTTTAGTCATGAGCTCAGGAAATTCCCAGTTAAACAAAGGGGCAAATCTTAATATCTTTATAATATTTTTATATATTATAACATACACACATTTATATACATATAAAAAAATATATATAATATACAATATACTTTACTACAAATAATAATTTGTAGTAAAAACAGAAAAAGGAACCACCAAGAAACATTACAAATTAACTAGTCCAAGTTATAGCACCTAGAACAGGAAAGGAGGAAGAAGCCCAAATCTTTTTTATTTCCTTCACAAGTGTTTCTAAAATACCTCAGTTAGTATTGCTTATTTAGGATCACCACCTCTTTCATGCTGTCAGTCTCATACTGTCTACAGGGCATCTCAGTAGGCTATAAAGAATCACAAAACAGCAAATTCTTCTCCCACATGGATAGACTGAGGGCTGCTGGGACCAACTGCCCGCATCCATGCCATTTTAATCAGAGGCATCAGAGCAGGACAGGCAGAATCGGAGCAGGACGGACATGGACAGCAGTCTGCCCAGTAAGTTAACCCAGTTAAAGTATCCATATTAGCTAACAGACATAGTGAAGGAGAAGTTTATAGGATTGGAAACCTTTGTCCAGTGAAAAGAGATGTTCCTCACAGGTTGTCTTCCAGCTCTCCTTGTCAGTAACCTCAGATTCTCTCATGTCCTGCAAACAGCCTGGGCCAACCTACCTCCAAACCCCTCTGCTCACATGACTACCCTGGGCTGCCTGATGTACAGGAGGCAGGAGACTCAAGTTCTGCCATTAGAATCATAGAATCATTAAGGTTGGAAAAGACCTCTAAGATCATCGAGTCCAACCGTTGACCCAACACCACCATGCCCACTAAACCATGTCCCTAAGCGCCTCATCTACCCGTCTTTTAAATACTTCCAGGGATGGTGACTCAACCACTTCCCCGGGCAGCCTGTTCCAATGTTTAACCACTCTTTCAGTAAAGAAATTAGAAGCACATCAGCTGTCAAACACCAACATCAGTACAGGGGTCTTTCCAAAACGGTGCTCAGATGAAAAGGTTGGTTTAAGTTAATGAACAAAAGAGGTAGAAATGAACTAATATGGCTATACACGTTTTTAAAAAAATCTATTTAAATGCCTAATTTCCTTGTTTTTCCCTTTGACTGCAGCCTCAGGTAGTGGGATATTCACTTAATCATCCTCTACCTTTTCTTGATTTTTATCAAGATGCAGTCCTGTGCAGGTAGATACATTGCCTGAGGACTTCCTTGAAGTCCTGTCCTCTTTTCACTTCTGGCCAAATGTTACAGTCTTGTGTACACTCTCCCAGTCTCCAGGTTGAACTATATCTATTTTGCTAGCTTTTAAGGGATTCAGAATTACTCAAGTTATATGAACGAACAAGATATGCATATCTGCACTTTTGGTTATATCTATCCTGCAAGTTTCACTGAATTGCTGAAATGTTGAATAAATCAGACTAGCTCAACCAGCTGACATTTCCAGCAGACATGCCCTCGTTGCTTTAGTATGCCCAAGTTCATTACTACACACCACCTGCCTGTTACCTGCAAATTCCCCATGTACTCTGCTCTCATCCCTTTGTATGTCAGGGACCTCTTGTAACCCTCTCCAGCTACTTTTGTTTCATGCCACCCATTTCCTTTCTGTCAAAGACTGATTCCCGCATGATCCCTTCCTCCCATTTTTTGTATTTTTTTTTCTTCTGTAGGAAATAAATTATTCAGGGCGTCAACATACTTGAACTGGAACTGAGATGGAGGTAGTTATAATGAAATGTTAATAACTGCCAGGAAAATTACAGAGTTGTTCAGAGCTGCTGGGTCTGCCAAGCAGCTGCCAGGAGCACTACATGTCTCCCCTACTCTTCTTCTAGTTTACTGATTTTCACCAAAATAGGGCGTTGTTCTTCAATTCCAAACTTTCAGAAAACATTCCAGCGTTGATTGGATGTGTCATTCAAAAGTAATCACACAACGGACAAAGAAACAGAGGAATGTTTTTCTGTTGAATACGAGGGCTTTTGATGCATGCTTAGGGTGTGCTTCAACATTACACTTATCTGTTGGCACATCCCTCTGTTGTGTCAATGCAACTCTATAGGGAGGCCGTGCTATAAACAAGGTTGCTTCCATTAACACAGATTATTTCACAGAGTTGGCTTGCAGTGCAGACTCCCAAAAAGTTTTATCAGTAAAATTCACCACTCCCACAACTCTAGCAGAGGGTCAAGAAACATGTAGTGGTTGTGTAAAGGAACTCTTCAAGAATCTTAGCGCTACAGAAATTACAAGTCAGAAGCACACCCTTAATTAAAGACCACTGATGTTAAAATGTTTCCGTCCCTCACCTGCCTGCTACCACCTCTTAGCCACAGGTTATCATGCCACAGCTGCTGAAGAACAGTCAAACGCTACGCTCGACTATGAGCTGTGGGAGTGGTGACTCTCATCGTAAGAGGAAACACAGTCCAAGCTGCTTCAGCTCTTTGTGAGGTGAATACTGTCTTACGCTCAGTGATTCATCAGTGAAGATGGCATAGCAAGTGAGGAGATGGTGTATGTAAAACCAGGGTAGATTAATGATTAACTCAGCATGTGTATAGCAGCGGTAGAGTAGACAGCTAACCCACCAGGAGCTGGAGCCTTCAGACCTCGTCTAGCTCAGCCAGATTTCAACATACGTACTGCGACGGGAGGTAGACTCCTACCTGAGGTCTCACTGTCTGGGCCCCGCTCCACACGAGCCTACCCCACGTGCCATATACTGCCTTTTCTGTTTTCAGCCATGTAACTACACCGTGCAGATTAAACACACAGGATTTCAAATTTCCAGGAGGAATGTATAACTCAACAGGCATATCCCAGGCTTTTCTTTAAAACTCAAATCAGAGGCCTTTGTAAAAGGTTATTCATTATCTACATCAAAGCGATGCCCACAGGCACTGCCTACTGCACTTCACCCCGAAAAAAATGAAAGCCCACGCTCTTTTCCAGATCATCCACTTGCCAACCCACCAGGAGTCCATTAACGCATGCTCTTTCAAATGTGGGCCCAGGGCACTTGCTTGCTGCCAGGAGAAACCCCAAAAAGACTCAGGGCTGTTGGGCAGGGCTTTTCTCTACGATCAACATATTAAGAAGAGCTCTGGGCAGACAGAAAATCGAAGGTATTTCTGAGTAACTTTCTTCTCTCACGCGACACGGTGAAATTCAGAACCTAGAGTAGAACTTCACTCAAAAGCAAAAATGGAAAACGTCCATCTTTATTAAACACACTAGAAACAACCAACATGTTTGCCATCACCGAGATTTGCCCCAAATGGTCACTCATCAATATAACAACGTGAATCAGAATTTGGAGCTGGAGTTGGCCGAAGCCACACAGCCAACGGTAAGACAGCTGAGGGATTCGTGGTGCTAGGGGTTAAAGCCCGCCCTCCTCGGGCTCCTCTGCGTCAGGAATTTAC